TTGCATTGTCTCTTGGAGTTCCTTGGGCTAGGCCTGACATATATACAGGTTCTGAAGTAAACAAATAGCAACTTGCACTGCTAAAGCTATCTATCTATCTATCTATCTATCTATCTATCTATCTATCTATCTATCTATCTATTTATGATTCATTTGAGGCTCATCAACCACAGGCAATTCCTGATCAGCTGGAGCAGTCGGATGATGAGACACAACCCCCAAGCCCCAAGTCTCAATGCATACAGTGGCAAGCAGAGCAATGCTATTCAATGAGGCTCCTCACTAGGCAAAGGACGAGGCCTGAGTAATTTCAGTCAGCTGCCAGCAGATAGATTTATGTAGCTGCTTTGCCTGTAGCCTTCGTTGGAGTGAACCATTCAGAATTCCAGCTTGTGACTCTTGTTCCTGTGTTTCCTTGTTCTTGAATCCTTGACTATTGGACCATCTGACTACCCAACTTGGCTCTCTGACTCCTGGAATGAATTTGGACCATTGTCTTGCTACTTGAACTTCAAACAGAACTATTTAGGCAAACACTCTTTGCAAAGACCCTGATTTATGATCTCGTCTACTGTTATCTGCATAGCCATAGTAAATAACTCAACTCCTTAGCAACTGTGTCTGTGTGTGTGTGTCTGCAACCTGAGTCAGGACATAAATAATATAGTAAACTAAAATATGTGAGAAAGCATATATTAGCAAACTTACCATAATGCATATAACAGTTTCCCTTCATAGGATCCAACTGAATTGCCTTTAAGAAATATTTTTCTGCCTCTCTCTTGCGACCCTTAAGAAAGAAAAAGCAGAAACAGATCTTTTGACACCAGTGTAAACTATTTATGATAAGCAAGATAAGGACCTACAACTGAGAAACTGAAATAGCATTAATTTCACAGAATTAATTAGCACAGTCCTACTAGAATACAAATCTCACTCTGTTTTCTTCTGTTTAAATAATATACTTTTCTAACACTACACATAATGCTGCGCTAATTATTTTTATACCGCTGTAATATGGAAGAACAAAAATGAACATCTTAATATATTCAAGGACCAAGAACATTTCCTACACTTGATGTACAATTTGTATCTAGAGCAAGGCCAAGAGAACTAGATGAAGAACCAGAAGATCAGAAGATTGAGAATAGAATCTCAGGCAGAATATTCCTACAACTCAGCTCTCCTTGTGCTCCCAATTCTGTACATGGAGCAAGCAGAGTTTCTAGTACTGAAATACATAATCACATCTACAGAATTTTCTATTGAATGTAGGATTTCTCAACAACACCTGCACAAGATGAAAACTAGAAGCTAGCTTTGCATATTGTACAACTGTCCTAGTAACCATCTAATCAATGCACGAAGTTAAATAAGACCCTACTCATATGGACGGAAGAGAAATCTTGAATTGAGTAGTGATTTGAATTACAGAGAGAGGAGGAGTCTCCCAACACACTCTGTAAGGGAAGATCTGAATGAAATAGTTCTCTGCCAATTGTTGCCTTCCCACAGATGATGATGTCTAGTCTTATGTTTTTATTGAGTACAACTTATATTTATATATTTGTATGGTAATTGAAATATAACAAACATTTATACAATGCTTAAAAGAATGAAGACAGCAACAAACAAGGGGAAAAAAGAATTAGGCCTCTTGGTAGAACTATGAGAATAATTTGGATTATAGGATAAACAGAGCACATTAAAAATCAGAGCAGAGCATTCAAGTTATCATCCTCCTCTGGCAAAAGTTTCATGTCACAAAACATTCATCTGCAGGTCATCAAAACTGCAGTCTGAGACTGGAACACATTGCTAATCCTGACTGAATTAACATTTACATCTATTATGTCATGGTCCTGAAACAGAAGAACACTATTAGTCTTAGACAGTTAATTATCATGTCTCATTGCACATTCAGTTTTCTATTTCAAGAGAGAAGAGACAATTCATTGGACTTCTCCCTTGCCCATTATGCTTCAGCCTTCAGAATTTTCTCCATGAAACCAAAAGCAATCCCAAATATTTTTCCATTCAGCTAGAATGGTATAATTGGCTTCTCAAAATACTGTGCTGAAAACTGTTTTCAGTCTCTTGTAAGATGTTATCTCCTGCAAAAAGAAGCTTCCCTTTTTCTGCTTCTTTCATAATGTTTAAGAATGTATTTCTAATTTCATTTTGGGTTATTATTGTGACAGAGCTGCAGATGCAGTGCTTTCTGTCATGCATCCTTCTACTGTTGTGAAAGTAGGTAGGGGAAAATAAATATGATTTATTTGAATATTTTTGATCTGTATCATTAGCCCAAATACCTCTGTGTAAGATGTATAGCCCCAGTAGAATGACAGTTCCTGATCTTAAGGTGACATCCTAGGGAACATGGTATTCAAGGAAAAAAAAGAATGAAGGCAGAAGAGGGAGGAAAGGCTTAGATACCAATTCTTACATTTAAGAATTCTTATAGTATCCATTTAGAACAGAAATAATTGAGGTAGGCAAGGTGCTGATTGGATGACAAGTAAGTTAAAGGCAGACACTTCTATCTTCTACCTGTAAAGAAATAAGGAATGGCCTTGAAGGACAGGAGGAAGAGCTGCTACCAAGGCAATAGTCAGATAAGCAGGGCTTTAGCAAGAAACTAATTTGAGAAAACATCTCAGACAAGCCCCTCCCTAGTTCACACAAAGAAAGTGATGCAAAGCAGAAGCACATTCAGACTTGCAAGATTCTATTACTATATATATTACAATAAAAGTAATTTTAACCTATATAGCATTGGTTTCTTAATCCGGTCTACCTTGTAGGGCTGACACTACCTCACTCTCAAGATAGTTAAAAATTTATTTGGCAGTGTTTCTAAACTTGCTTTAATGCTGCCTTTGAAGACCATTGGTAGCTAACAGCTGGTCCAGAATGCAGTGGCTTAGGAAGTGATGGGCATGTTGAGGTATGCCAATGTGATACTGCTGTTCTGTGAGCTGCACTGGTTGCCAGTGGGCTGCTGGATACAATTCAAGGTGCTGGTTATCACATATAAGGCCAGGCATGGCATAAGGCCTTGTTATTTCAGGGAGTGTCTATTTTTTTATTATTTCTGCCTGTCTGGTAAGATTGGTCAGAGTGGGTATGCTCCAGGTTCCCTTGATTAAACAATGTCTATAGAGACCTAGAAAGCATGCCTTCTCTGTCATGGCACCTGCCTTCTGCTATAGCATCCCCTCAGAGATCCATATGGATTCCACTTAATGATGGTCTGAGTCCCTGAAAATCTGGCTATTCTCCCAGGGCTTGGGGTAGGGTGGTTGCTAAGCCCCTTTAGATTTTTCCTTCATTGTTATGTATGGTGCACATTCTCTTCTGAATGTGCATGATCAGTTGCTCTGTTTTTTTTGTTGTTTCTTTTTTTTAAAAAAAAATGCTGCCCAGAGTAGTTTGGGCCTATAAATTGTATACATGCATACAAAAATAAATGCAAGCTGGTGGCAGCAACTACAGGCTGTCCATCACTCTGAAATCTCCTTAGCTATTCATACTTTTTGATCTAAAACATTCCCTTGAAATGTAATAGAGATTGGGGCAATCAAGAAGACTGTAGACTGCTAGAGATTACAACAAAACACAGAAAACATACATATGCCCACACTTTTTTATAATTAACATAAACAAAGGAATTTAACATCCCATCTCTGAGAATTTCACCAAAATATTCTCTTCTTCTGCGAAAAAAGAAAAAAAATATTTTCATTAGATTTATTTAGAATGTTTGGAAAATATTTCGAACAAACTTTAATAAGGAATAGCTCTGGTTATTCACTCTATTCTACAGCCTTATGAAACAGGTCATTTCTTCAGCTTGAATGCTATTTGATATTTAAAAATAGTTGAATGTTTTTAAAGTATCTTATTAAATGATTACTATTATGTGGTTTAAAAAAACATGTGTTACAGACATGTTTCACAATATTATTTTTGAACTACAAGAAGTATTGATTTCAGAGAATCAGAATTAAAACTTGTCCCATTTTAAACAAAAGACATTTTAAACAAAGTGACACTGTTAACACCACTGCATATTTTTCATGATTGTTTGAATGACCAGTTATTTTTATGCTTTTCAAGTTCTAAGTGTTATTTTTGAATATTAAAATAGAAAATATTTTTCACTAGTTTATTAAAGATAAACATAAATAGATTTTAACACCTACATGATTGTCAGAAGTCTGACATACAGATAGTCTTACACAGTGTGGGATTTTTAGGGCTTTGTAAATATGCATATTTCATTACTATGTATTTATTCAGCAATGATACAAGAGTTCCCTTTTGATTCTAGATTAATGTACCTAATTCAGGTATCTGTCTTACTAATTACCTTTCATTTATGAGAAAGCTAACAATAACATCTTTTCTCAAAATGCTTTTAATATAATATGAGAACTTTACTGAGATTAAATACAATTTACTTTACACATTTATTTTCATCTTGCACACTTCTTGCAATCCTATCTCAACTTAATAATAGTAAGGAAGATACCATTTCTATTCACACTTTTCATTCTTCCACTCAAGTTCAAATTCAGCTACCTTATGAAAGCTCTTACCTTATGAACTTTAAACTCTAGGAAACATAAGACTTGTTAGAGCTAAGAAGCATATAGGCATATGACATTATTTAGAAACTCAGTCTTCTTTCTTACTTTATTGCTTTGGAGGGTTGGTGGTACTTTCCCTTTGTAGTACAATTTGTGTATAGAAGACTTATAGGAAATTATTTGCTGAAATGGAGAATATTATGAATTTGGATACCTAATTAGTACGAATATGAGTACCACAGAGCCAGTTTGGCGTAGTGGTTAAGGCACTGGGCTGGAAACCAGGAGACCATGAATTCTAGACCCATCTTAGGCACAAAGCCAGCTGGGTGACCTTGGGCCAGTCACTCTCTCTCAGCCCTAGGAAGAAGGCAATGGCAAACCAGTTCCAAAATCTTACCAAGAAAACCGCAGGGACTAGTCCAGGCAGTTGCCAAGAGTCAACAATGACTCAGAGGCACTAATAAATAAATAAATAAGGGAAGGACTAGTCCAGGCAGTTGCCAAGAGTCAACAATGACTCAGAGGCACTAATAAATAAATAAATAAGGGAAGGGGGAGGCAAACGAAGTACATTATCCTCTTAAGAATATTATGGAAGCTCCCCCTCTCCGCTGGACGCTTCCCTAGCAGAAAAGCATCTCCAGGAAGGTGGATAAAAAAAAAGTCAAGATGGTGGTCACAGCAGTGCAACTGAAGCCCTGCCCTTAGGAGCAGGTGGGTAATCACACTGCCACAATCTCTATCTGGACACTCAGCCTCTGCAGATTTTGCTGCTCCCTGGTGATCCTGTATCAATGCATTCTCTTTGGTGATTCATTGTTTCTCCAACAAGCCTTGTAGCACTCCCCACCTTACCAACCTTACAAAAGATGGGAAAAGAATAAACTCTATATTCTTTTAGATTACTATATAGCTGTCCCGGCCGGCTATCCATCCATCCATCCATCCATCCATCCATCCATCCATCCATCCATCCATCCATCCATCCATTTTGCTTTTTTAAGAGCCAGATCCTTGAAGGAAAGAAAAAGAAGTTATCCCTGCCTTTTGTGTGAGTGAATCTGTGGTGGTTTGCAATCCGGTCTGGCACATGCTTTTGTTTCCAAAAGTGTAAGAACTAACACCGGGGATCATTATGGTATCCATAGTTTTCTTTCTCCCAAATGCTCTGTGCTGCTGATGCTATTTGCCAGAACAG